CTCTCGTCCTTCCACTCGTTGTCTTCTCTCTCTCGGCTCTAGCAATCGTTCGTGATGTCACGCAACCGGTTCAAACGACGTTTTTGCGAATGGAGCACCGTGTCTGATTTGAAACGCGTGAGCGCGATATCCATCCGAGACGAGTGGATCCTGCTCGATCATCGTCGTCAGAGACACGGATGGATTGTTTTGTAATTGGAGCTTAAATCCGATCCGCTGTAATTACGGATCTGATAGCGGTAAAACGGGCAAATTGATTAATCCTGGACAATTAAGCGTTACCGGGCTCGTTAGCACAAGACCTCTCCGGTCTACTCTTGCCGAGGTTCGCGATGTCACGAGCTTCTTCGTTTCTTCCGCTTCTCTCTCCCCTCCATTCCGTTGGTGTGTGCTGCTTGCTTTCTCCGAGCGAAATTATTAACTCGTCACTACTTGAAATTGTCAAAGGATCGATCGACTCGATCGCTCGTGACTCGATCGTCGTGATCGCTGTAAAATATTATTCTCGCGTTCTTCCTTGAATTTTCACACTGCGACGGATTGCGAAATTGCCTCGCTCTCTGTCGAAAGTAGACGCTCAAAGTCAAAGTAGCAGGAGTGGCGGAGGGAGTGGAGAGTGGAACGCATTCTCAAGCGCGAAGAAAAGCCATCGTTCGTCGACGATTATTTCGATAGATTCTTTATACGCTGGCGCGTATATTTTTAATAAAAACACGATGACGTTCGTTGGCGCGGAGCGTTCGAAAAAATCCGAAAGTACGTTCTAAAGTTCTTCGAATCCTCGAGGTGTGTTTACCCAGCGCGGTGTGGCGCTCCTTTCGATAACACGGTCGATTCCATCCGAGAACAAGAAACCTCTGACGGCGGTGCCGGGGCACGACTATCTCCGCGTGACGTTCTGAAAACAGAACCGGCCTCGCCGACTCGGACGGATTTCGAGGCGTAACGTGGTTCCTCGAGGACTGTGTCAGTCCCGATTATATCCACTGGCGTGGTGTATCGTTAGGCCTCGTATCGTCGCTTCTCGAAACGTCAGCCTGTCAGGGCCGTACATTTCTGCGGGGGCACCCATCTAGTCATGCATATTCATGAACGCTCGAGAACGAAAAGGGAAAGAGACCTCGAGTCGATCCCGGCCGCTCCGAGGATGACGAGTAACCGAATGCAAACGTATACGCATCGGATCGAGATCACCTCTTTCTTTAACTTGACCGTTAACTGCTGTTCGGTGCAGTAAGTTTCGCTGTAAGCAAAACGCAAGATCGCGGTACGATTGCATCCAGCATTCCAACTCGGAAAATTTGGTAAAAATTGTCACGAAGAAAGGAACATAGAACACTGCTGGGAAGAGACATTGGTAGAGACGTGATTCATTGTAAGAAAGTGGCAACATTCTGTGCATGAGTGCAAAGAAAAACCACATCTTTCCTTAAACAGTTTCGATAAAATTATATTAGTGCGTACTGTTTGTGTAATAAATATTAACGAAAGGAATATTCAGCTATTAATCTTAAATCTTTTTCCAATTTTTAATACACGTGTACTAAATGTTGCTTCGTTGACCGGGTTTATCCTTTGCAATCAGTTCAGCTCAAAAGCGCTGGAGTTCAATTTACCTCCGTCTTTACTCCGAGTGTTTTTATTTGTAATGTTCAGGTAGCAGCCTTATTTCCTCTAGGGAAAATAACTCTCGCAATTCGCTTTACCTTGAATATGAATTTTATACTACTACTGACTTGAGTTTTTACGCAGTGTTCTCTGAAACTTGATTGTTCCGCGTACGGTGACGATCGATCGACCTAGTTCGGCGGATCTTTTCGAAAGAGAAAGTTTTGAAAAATCTTCTCGGATCGGCAAGCCTGAAGCGAGTCAACAACACATCTCCAATCAGAAGCGGAAATCAGAGCAGACTTGCCGACAAAATTTCGAGCGATGTAGAGCGTCTGTAGAGTTCATAAATCACGGTACACGTTGTCTCGTACCGTAATATCAAGAGGATACACGCAAAATTTCGCCGAGATCTGCGAGCAACAGCGAGCAAAACCGGCGAGGCAATAATCACCGGGAGTATCGAACCAGCAGCAATTTATCACGTGGCGAGCGCGCGTAAAGAAAGCATGATAGATCGCGCTCCGGTTGTAGATCGGCGCAGCACACGGTTTCGTTAAAACGTGGCGGTTTGGCAAAAGGTTGGCTAGCGTTCTGATCGACGAGGGAGGCGGGACACCGGGTTCTCTCGTGACGAATAGTAGATAGTGGAAGCACGACCGTACGATTTACAAGATTCCCCCAGTTCGTAAATAGCGACGAGCATCTCGCGTCGCCGGCATCTCGTCGAGATTATCTTATAAAGGATACCGCATCGCGCGCGCGC